AGTAAGGGTGCGAAGTGAGAGCTCCTCGCTGCGGCCCCAAGTCCGTTGCCGGGGGAAGGTATGTGGGAATTTTGGGAGACTTGGATTTGGTTTTTTTTAGGAGGAATGGGAGGGATGGGGGAGATCATTTTTGCTCTTGAATATTTCTGGGTGCTCAGAGCTTGTTTACTCACCTTACCTAGACCGGCTCAGTATTGCTGTTGTGTATGTGTGCGTGTGTGTGTGTGTGTCCCGGCTGCTGTGCGCTCTTTGCATGTACGTACATACATATATACGTATGTATGACCGACTCTCTCTCTCTCTCTCTTTCAGGCCGAGCCCATCTCCGCGGGCATCCTTATTACGCTGGCGGTGGTGTTGTGGATGAAACTTGTGTCGTATCACCACTGCTGCTTCGACCTTCGCATGGCGCGACGCGGCGGCGAGATCCGCCCGGGGGAGCGGGGCTGTCCGGACACCCCCGCGGAGGACTGGGGGCCACTGGCTAAGTGAGTGGCGGTAGCCTGATTAGGCACTGGTTGGGGGGAAGGGGGATCGTGTGGTTCTAGGGTTTGGGTATTCCGTGGCTGGACATGGCGTAGCCGTTATACACTTAATGATATATATCACGTCATTGTGGCCCTACCGGGAGTGAGGTGGGGGGAGAGGCCCTGATGGCCCTGTTATTGCTGCCGTACGCTGTGATGTGATGTGATGTGATGTGATGTGATGTGATGTGATGTGATGTTTCCGTGTGTTGGTCATGCAGGTACCCGGAGAATCTTACGCTTCGGAACCTGATGTACTTCCTTGCTGTACCGACCTTGACGTACCAGGTACGGGATCGCTCGTCAATCTGTCTGTCTGTCTGCCAGATTTCGTAATCGGACCTTCGTGTACGACTGCCTGTCTTTACGATGGACCGTATCTGCCTGTCTGCCTGTCTCCCGGCCTGTCTGTCTGTCTGTCCCTATATCCGTCTGTCTTCGTGTGTGTGTGTGTGTGTGTGTGTCAATACCCCCAAAACCCCACCCCGCACGCGCAGGTTAACTTCCCTCGCGGTCGCGCCATTCGCGGCCGGTGGTTGCTCCGCCGGCTGTTCGAGCTGGTCATCACCCTCACCGCCCTGGCCATCATCATCGGACAGTACATTGAGCCGGCGGTCACCAACTCCATGGCGCCGCTGAGAAAGGTGTGTCGGGGCGAGAGCAGGCAAAGGGGGAGATGAAGGGGGTAGAGGGGGGAAGGGGGTAGAGGGGGGAAGGGGAGGCCGAGGCCACACTGGGAGGCGGGGCAAGGCAAGGTCGCCAGAGATAAGCACCTCAATCGGCCTCCCCCCCAAGCGATCAACAACAACAACCATGACAACCCAACCTTGATGCATGCATACATTCTGGCACACATTCATTGCGGCAGCGCACCTTTTAACTGCCTCCTCCCCCCTTCCCCCCCTTGCTGGTTCGTTTCCTTTTCACCACTACACATCTCCCTCCCCTCCCTCTCCCTCC